TGACGCCCTTAAGTAAGCAGGACGACGAAGTACAGCACTATGTGACAAAGCGAATGGTGGGTGCTAGTGATGCATGTTGGAGGCTTCTAGATTTTCCAATATCTAAGTCTGAGCCAACAGTAGAATGCCTTCCTGTACACCTTGAGGGAAAGCAAAGTGTCACATTTCGTCCAAACAGTTTAGCCGAGGCGACTCTACAAGCTAGCTCTAATCTGTTAATATACTTTAATAGACCACTTGAACCGGTATTTGACAGTTTAACGTACCAATCCTTCTTTGAACAATTCCTCGTTCATTCAAAACGTCCACGTGGTGCAGAGATATATGAACATCCCGACGGTAAACACTACATCACTCGTCGACAACGTGGCACCAAGATCTGCCGACTTTATTGGGTCTCGCCAAACAGAAGCGAGCTATATTTTCTTCGTCTCTTGTTAATGGTAGTACCATGCCGTGGTTACGCCGATTTGCTCGCGCGTGGAGGTGATGGCTGCGACACATTCCAACAGGTAGCGCGGACCCTCGGTTTGGTTGAAGATGAGGATGAGTATGGCATTGCCATCAAGGAAGCTGCTCATTTCATGGTTGGTTCGCAGCTCCGTTCCTTCTTCGTTCTTTTATGTAACATGGGAGCACCTGCGGCTCTTTTGTGGGAATCCTTCCGAGACGCGCTTTGTGAGGACCATTTGCATCGCCACCCTGATGATCGTGAGCTAGCCTTCAAACTATCTCTGCTGGATATTGATCGCAGTCTCCGACGTCATGGGTCATGTTTGGCCGACCATGGCCTCCCAGTCGTGGAGGACAACACTACAGAGTTGGCCAGGGAGCTGCTTATCTACGGCGAGAACCAACAGAAATCAATTGTAGATGAGTGGGAACAGAAATTGTCAAACGATCAAGTAACCGTTTTGAATTACGTCCGCTCTTTATTGCTTTGCCAAGGAGGTCGACGGGCAAATAGACTTATTTTCCTCGACGGGCCTGGTGGCTACGGGAAAACATTATTGATTCGCGTCATTCTTGCCTATGTTCGAAGCCAAAATCAGGTTGCCATTGCTGTCGCTAGCTCTGGTATCGCCTCTGGCAATATGCCGGGTGGTACGACAGCACACAGCATGTTCAGATTACCACTTGACCTCGGCGACGGCACGGGATACTGGAGCTTGACTAACGGATCTCAGCGAGCAGAACTGATCAGAGCCGCACAGCTCATAGTTTTTGATGAGGCACCGATGGCTCATCGCTACATTTTTGAGATTCTCGACAGATCTCTGCGAGACCTCATGAATTCGCCTGAACCATTCGGTAACAAGATCCTAATCTGTGCTGGAGATTTCCGTCAGATCGCACCCGTTGTTGCCAGAGCACGTACGCCAGCTGATATTGCTTGTGTATCTCTCCGTGCGTCCCATCTTTGGCCAAGTTTCAAGCTATTTTCTCTTTCAACACCTCACAGGACCGGTAGTTCCACCGCATACTCCGAATTCCTGCTTGGAGTAGGCAATGGAACTATTAGTACTGTTGTATTTGATGAAGACAGGCACACTTGCAACCTGATTCCACTGCCTGGAGTTAGATATGTTACTTCTCTGTCCGACCTCATTACATTTGTTTTCCCCGATTACGTCCTGAATGACCCCGATCTCACGGCTAGGCGAGCGATACTTTCCACCGTGAACGCCAACGTCCAGAATATTAATGCCGTTGTTCGTAATTTAGCAAGTGGCATCGTACACGATTTGAGGAGCGTGGACACAGTTGACAAAGAAACCGATGACGGAATGGAGGTCGATAATCAACTGTTGAACCAGGCCACCAGCAAAGGTGTGCCGGACCATGTCTTGCGACTAAAGATCGGCTCCGTTTGTCTTATCATGAGGAATTTGAATATCGACAGCGGACTTGTAAACGGTACCAAGGTAATAATTACGGCGATCAGTCCTCGCCTAATTACTGCTAGACTTCCCGGCAAAACTGAACCAATTTGTATTCCAAGGATACAATTTGTTTTCCCGTTTGTCGAGGGGTCGCCGCTTCGCGTCCGCCGTCTTCAATTTCCCCTCATGTTGGCCTACTCCATGACTGGCCACAAAAGCCAGGGCCAGACGATTGATCGTGTCGGAGTGGATCTACGTAGTGATTGTTTCACTCATGGCCAATTGTACGTTCTATTGAGTAGGGTCAGACATCCTGACGACATTGCGGTTCTTGTCCGACCTGAAAGGGTTCGCGAAGGTGTCGCTCATACAAAGAACATTGTGTATGGCGAACTCCTTCATTAGTACCAACTTTGACGTTAGCAGTAGGCTAGGGGATCTGCTTTACCAAAACTCCCCGTCGTGATTTGACATCTATGGCAGTACGATAGGGGGTCTGCCTGAAAAAAAGTCCCCGATATTTTGTGTGTTTTGTGTGTTTTTATTTGTTTTTGTGTGTTTTTGTGTGTTTTTTGTTACTGTTTGTGGTTCCGACGTTTCCTGGCCTCCCCGTGGCGGAACTGGATATGCCATTATATGATAGCATCATGGCTAACTGACAGGGAAACAAGTATTATTTAATCAATTTCAATTAATAAATTATAATTTACTACAATCTTTATATTGTACAATACTGTATATCCTATTACTGTTATTTAAAAAAAAAATTGCTAAAATTCTACCAAAAATATAACATGTATACTACAATCTGTTTATGCTATACAATGTACGTCTAACTTTTGTTTATATAAATAATTGTATATATGGTTCCGACGATTCCTGGCCTCCCCGTGGCGGAACTGGATATGCCATAAAGTTTATGGCTAACCGACAGGGAAACAAACATTACTTGATCTATTTTCATAATTATATAAATGAATATGTACTATAATCTATTTACTTCATATAATACTTTACTATTATCAACTCATTCACTTATCAATCTACATACTTATCAATCTACTTATCTTATACAAAACTTAGCTTGTACTTTTGCTAACAATTGTAAATATGGTTCCGACGTTTCCTGGCCTCCTCGTGGCGGAACTGGATATGCCATAAAGTTTATGGCTAACCGACAGGGAAACAAACATTACTTGATCTATTTTCATAAATATATACATGAATATTTACTATAATCTATTTACTTCATATAATACTTTACAATTATCAACTTATTAACTTTTCAATCTACTCTAATATATATTGTGAAATAATTATTACTTCAATATCGATTTTCGCTATTACAATTACAATTATATTATCACTTCGTTTGACCAAATACTCAGTTGTAAACATACTTTACTAACGTACTCTCTTACCGCAACTTTAAAATTATTCTTTAAGTTGGAGCTCAAAATTAACTTGCCAGCCTCCTCAAATGTATTCGTGAAATTGTTTTGATATAACGCAATATAGACTGTATCACTGACTGCTTTGTTACCCGATTTGTTACAACCTAACTCTAAACTACTAATGACGACTAACAGGAGCCAAAGGCGAGTTGTTTTTATAACGCGGCATGTAGACAGTAACAAAGATTTGTGTGTTTCATGTTTTTAAATATGGATTTAATTTCTAAAAAAATATCTGATAAAGTACTGCTTCTAGTGATCATTTCACTAAGACTTATACACACTCGCACATGACACAAACACAGTTTTGTTTAGAAAACAAAAATGCAGAGAGTAATATTCCACATTTCACCACTATTAATTAGTTGAAGTACATTATTATAGTTTACCACCTTCCATTTGGGAGTTTCAAAAACAGTTTGTTGAATAAAGAAGAATTAAAAAGTGCACTGGGGTTTGTATACCCATCAGCACTTAAAATAATTGTTTTTCGAAGCCCATCAATAAAATTGAACTTTTATTATAAATGTAAATAAACGATGCATCATTATATAAATTTCTCTCGAGAATTTCATTTCTTTTACTTGTTTAAATCAATATTAAATGCTCTTTTGGTATAAATGTTACAGTATTGTACGAGTAGAGATAAATGATTATGAACTACATGCTGTGAACCCGTCAGTTTCTTTGAAATAAATTGGAAAAAACACATAAGATACATTTCTAGAGGAAATAACGTACGTCTATGAGTTATGGGTGGGATTTCATGTAGGAGATTTTATCAGAATTTTCAGGGCCTCACAGTACAAGGTGAGTTGATCAGTTGATCAGATGATTGACTCTTACATTTTTTATTTTCATTGACCACAAAATTTAAGCTAAATTTATCATGTAAATTTGTCATGACTAATCTTCTACCACACTGTGTCCCGTGATAGGTAACACTGGCCAATTTCTACAGTACTATATTCATTTCTCGTATTTTTGTCGTGTGTTTGTGTCATGTGTGTTCTCAATGTCAATGACGGATCTAGTCAGATAGATGACCTGATGTTTTTGTCACCTGATGATTGGCAATTTGGAACAATCATTGCTTTTAATCCCCTCATTACACGCTTTGATGTATTATAACCATAACAGAGATATTTATGGACGAGCCTATGTTAAAAGTGCCCAATTTTACCCAAAAGCCATTAAAAATTAATAACAAAATTTCTTGGTTACCTTGCTTTGTCGAGTGATCCTATTTTAGTGTAGTACAATACTATAGTTCGGAACCTCCTTTAGGAGTCCATCATCAGGTGACAAAAACATCAGGTCATCTATCTAGGCTAGATCTAGATCCGTCGTTGACATTGAGAACACACATGACACAAACATACGACAAAAAGACCTTAATTATTTATTTATTATTATGTACTGTACACAAGATAAACTTTGCTTAATTCATGGAATGTATCAGTATTTCACTAGGCATTTTCAGTGTTATAATGACTTTTTGCTTCATGGGAAAAATTCATCCACTTTATTTATTCTTTTTTTATTGTATTGTATTTGTGCAATGCTTCTGTTAATGTACTACCATGAACAAATTTTTGTATTTGAAAGAGTGAGTCATTCTTAGTTATCACGTTTGTGTATTTTAGGATAAATATGCCACAAGTGTACAATGTAATGTAGATGTTTTCACCTGTGATCTGCTGTTCTGCTAACTCAACGACCTTGACATCAGTTCAATGTTGAAGTTTGAAGTATTACTGAGCGCCTTGCTTGCTGTAAGTTTTTACAATACAATACAAGTTTAGATAAAGTGTTTATTTTAAGTGTATCCATTAACCTAGTATAAAAACCATATAATTCTAGTCGTTAATGTCCACCGGTACTTGATTACATAATTCTTTTCAGAACATAGTTTCCGTGATTCCTTCAAATGTTCTACTAACTGAAACAATGTGTACCCTTTTAGTTTTGTATGACATTCAGGAAAGATTATGGAATCTTGTCCAAAAATATCTTTGGGCAAAAATGTCCATATTTTACTGTTATAACATATACAGCATTACATGTATAATCAATGCATCGTCTTTTTCTGTATTGTTTCCACAAACCACGTAAATAGATGCTAAGAAAAGGAAAGTATTTAACTCTAATTTCAACTTGTTTGAATGCTTTTGGCCCAAGATTTTGTTTATAATTCTGTATGATAATTGATAACTGCCCTGCATGACAATACTGTTTTGTATAATATTCTTTATTGCTTCAGACAATACAATGCATTTCAATAGAAAAATTTAAAATGGCAAGTCAGAAGTCCCTTTTCCAAGAGCTCTATAGAATTTGATATTCAAGTCTAACAAGCATTTATTTATAAAACACTATTTTACTAGACGATATTCTGCTTAAATTTGGTGACGATTTGCTTAAAAATACGTCTAGACTTTTTTTTGTTATAAATTTTAATCTTTTAGGTACTAATCACTGGTGTGAGTGCAGACCCTGAGAATGAAACAGATAACAGAGAATTATCATGTAAGTTGAAAATTTTAATAGTTTATACAACACCTTACAAGGAACACATAAATGTAAAATTTGCTCATCTCTGCTGGTCCCCTTTGTATAGGCCTCAGAAGAAGTAGTCGAAACCTTGGTGGGCAGATTCTGCGAGTGAACTTTCAGGTATAATTAAAAATAAGCTACTAGTATGTGTACAAAAGCTGACAATTGGATAGTAAGTTAAGGGTGGGGGTGAGATTGTATTACCTATTCAAACAATAAAGATTTTTTTTATTTGAATAAATGATAGGATACGACTACTGTAGATTCATAAACCTCTGATGGTTATAAGTATGGTTAGGCCAAGAACAAACAATTTACGAGAACTACACTTATACGGCCTACCAAAAGACTTTGACAATATGAGTTATATTTTGCAGTGTTGAATGTTGGAGTACCATTGGCTGAGACAAAGCTAGGTCCCAACCCAGCTCTAGACGGATACAACAGGCGCCGCGTCAGAGCCATATATTACTGGTCCAACAGGAATTTCTGCTATTACAAGTTTAAAGCAAGTATACATTTTTGGAAAATGACGACATGAAATTTGGGACAAGCTTGTAAACTTAGATTGATTTAAACGAGTTCACTAACCAGTTTCATAGGACTATGGAATGGGGGTTTTACAGGCAAAAATAGCACGCTTTAATATTTAGCCATCAAAATATAAAATTGCGCAGTTTATTTCTAGAGCAATACATATTTTTTTTTTTAGTTTAAACACAAAATAATTTAGTACATTGAAGTGTTGTTGTAGAAAATTTCAAATAAATCTGTAAATTTAAAATTCACATGTTAATGATGTAGAGAATAGGACGTCAACTGTTGTTGTTTGCTTGTTTATGAATATATTTTAACCAACATTTGTGAGATTTGTTGATGAAGACTAAGCTATTAACATTTTACTAAAAAAACACCCAATTTCCTTTAGAAGCAACCTAGTAAGAAATTTTATCATATCCATTACAGAATGGTGAATATGTTGGCATGACTTACTTTAATAAAAAGAAAGAGACTTTGAAAATAAACGGTATCACCAATCTGACACATACTTTCTCCCATTAGCTTGTCAACAACCTTCGTCATGGGTAAACGGTGGGAGTAACTATGACATACATGTATTATAGGGAAAATCACAAAAGCTGCAATAACTTTTGAACATTATTTGTTGCAACAATAGGGGGTTGCACTATTTTGTTTAGAATCATAAGGACCATAACACATTAAATTTAATCAAAACCGGCTTTTTCCTAAAATCTGACTTTTAGTTATTTTATGTGGTTTTATGGGAAAATTTATGCGAAAGTTAACATAAGTTACAATAATTTTTTAACCGTAATTTAAACCGGCAGAAGTTCAAAGATTCAAAAAAGAAATCTTTGAACGGCTGCCATTTTTACTTTCTCCCCCTATACCATAGTATATGGAGAAAGTATTGTTTTCGTCAAAATTTTCGAGTTTGAGTTTTGAGTGGATATATTCGTTTTGGGTCCCCCTGGACCCAAAAAAGTGGTTTTCGAAGTGATGTCTGTGTGTGTGTGTGTGTGGGTGTGTGTGTCTGTATTCACCGAATAGTGGCATCCTTCACAGGCACACGGCCGTACTGTGGCACCTTCAAAAATTGTGGCACCTTTTTCAGGGTGCCACAGCTAATTCCATCATTTTTGAGGTTTTCCAGCATTATTACGTCGTTTAAACATCACATGCCACAATTGAGTATTTTTGAACTCATTGATGTGAGTTTAAGTAGCGCAGGTACACGCCGAATTGTGGAACACGAAACCATACAGGTAGCTAGCGCGCCTCGCGCCGTCCGCCGGAACTATAACTTTCCTAATGCTACGTTGCCAATTCTCGCGCCAGCTTACACTCTAAATAGTGGCACCATGCCGCAATTCGGTATATATCAACAGTGTGTGTACAGGATGCCACTTAATGAGTTGTAGCGCTTGAGCAGTGTGTAGAACAGTGCAACAAGCAACTAATAAACTAATAATACTGTACTGCCACGTACTATAAAACAATTTAATTACCATAAATAATATGCTTTTGCTCCGAGTGGTGAACAATGTTTTACATTAAAAATAAGTTGTGTAGTAAATAATTATTTAAATTGTTTTTATGCCACCATTAAACATGTATTTGTGTTTACAAACATAAATTGGTAACGTAGTTACTTTGTATCAATTGAATTTTTACATTGAAACAATAACAATGTTTTCGGTTAGAACATTATATAAGTTGTCCTATGCTGCGATTTTTTATTTTACAAACTATTTCGTGCTGACATTTATTTTATTAACATTCTAGTCATGTTGACAAAATATTTTACAATTAGGCCTACATTTCTGAATCACTCAGTAAAGGTAGATTTCGATGCATCATTGCTGAAAGTTATGTTTTGCTTCTCACTCTCAGAGTATTCCAAAGACATTTAATGTTTCAATCCATGTTCAAATGTTATATGAGGTAAACATATAACCGAATTAATTAAAGTACTTAAATTAAAATACATATTATTATCAACATGCATAAACTAGTTCAGATTATATATCATCTCACAATCATATTTTCAAAACCTACTGTACTGTGGTGTTTTAACCAGTCCCCACTAACGAAAGCAAATGAAAGGTCCTAAAGACGTTAACATTGAGTCATAACTAGAGTAGTTTATTTATTTATTTATTTATTTGTATACGGCAAACACCATTTTACATTTCACATTGCAATTATATACAGATGGCCAAAAAAAGATGACGTAATAATACATGCGTTTGACCATTACAGCTATCTTATCTCCATTACAGTTTAAAAGTTGTAACCGTGATACTGTAAATAATTTGATATTGTTTGATATTATACAATCGTTTTACAATTTTGTCAATCCATCTGTTACTTTAAATACAAATGTATTTTTAGTATTCAATGATTTGATTTGTAGAACCTTTAGTATTCTCAAGTTTATTAATAATAAACCTATTTCAACATACAATATCAATTTTAGGAAATTCCTAGTATGGTTGGAAATATATTGGCATCCGTGAGGTTTGTGTAATGTTTTTTTAAAAACACAATATGTTATATTTAACTTCACTTATTATTTATTTTATATGTTTCTACTTCTTGAAATTCTCAGTTAACTAGGAGGCGGAGCAAACAGTTTGTTCTAAAATGAACTTGGAAATTCTAAACAATCTTTTTTCTGTTGGTTTACTTAAAGTCTATAATGTTCTACTATGAATGCAAATCTATAATATAGTATAAATTTTCAGTCCCACCCTCAAAAACTATGATATTTATTAGTTGAATTTTTATAACGTAATTCATGACGGTTGAACAATGACCTTTAAAATATGCTTTTGTTTTCTAGCGTTTACCGTATCTTACAAAAAGTTAGTTTACATAATAACAAAAACTTGTTGGGCGAAAGAAAAATTCTCAAAAGCTACAAATTAGTTTATAAATATATGTATCGATATCGGTTTGGCGTTTGGTTTACAATGTATTTTCAAAGTCACAAGATGGTTTCTGAAACTCTTTATACAACTCTTCTTTATTCAATTTAAAAAAAATATGATCCAAGAAATTGAGCTTTTTAGCCACAAAATCCACCGATTTTTAACTTACCTGACAAAAAAATTAAAACAGTAGCAGCCGACGAACTTTTTTATGTCATATTTTAAAACTCATTCAAAGTACCGACTTTATTTCAAGATTTAAAATAGAAAATAGAAACTTTTAAGCTTTTAATTAGAACCAATAGTGTCCTAGATTAATTGACATCTTTCATACGAAGTTCCAACGATTTACATTAGTCTAAATAGGCTAAATGTCAAGTTATTTTGAAGCTGGACATTGAGTTTTGGTGCCGTTTTCATTGGCATCAACCACTTCTAACCTGCACTAAGATGGCGGACCTGGCTTCAGCTGCTTGTATGTTAGTTAGATAGGCGTGCTCCATCTATTGGTCTTATGTGATCGTTGATTTCAACTAACGGAATTCTGATGAAAATTTGAACATGAATTATTAGCAGTTTTGCAGGGATGATGAACAATAGTTTTTTTATTTTTTTATTTGAATTGCTTGTCAGTTGGCAACAAATCTTAGAGATGTGTAAACATGTTTAGGACAAAATTGAATTGGCAGATATCATGGTAAAGAAGCGTACTAGAAAAAGATACTGTCGCCTGATCCAATTTTTACAGCAGTCAGCTGTTGACATGCTAGGCGAGCAACCGCGACAGTGAGGACGGGGAACAGCTGATTTTATGTTCTTAGTTGGCAAATTGTCTGCTAGCTACTAACGTACACATGCATAAGCCATCAGCAGTAGCACCAGTAGCCTCATTGACTATATAAACACTTGTGTTAAGGTTTAAATACAGTAGTCAATGCTATTACTGAATTTGATACTATACATATTGTTACTAATATATGAAATGGAGAAAAACGTTACCTTAAAAATACAAAATTTCCCAATTTATATCCAGACCTTTTTAAATAGCTTAAAAAACAAATAATTTAGTATATCAAAGTGTTTTTGTACGGTTATTGGTAACAGGACAAATTCAAAAATTGTAAATTTAAAATTCCCATGTTATTCTTATAAAGAATATTGTAAAATAATGTAGTTTGCTTGTTTATGGATATATTTTGATCAAACTTGGCAAATTTATTTAAACAATTACAAAAATATTTGGATAATGAACGGTACTCTAGTTTTCTCAAGGTAGGACACGTGAATTGGAATTTTGGCGTTACAGACACAATGACAGAAACAATCAAACAAACGTACAGATATTGACATAAGACTCGTTTCGGCTTTCTTATTATATAACACGTAGAAATAACCAAACACTTCATGAATCTACGCAATGTACAGACAAAACAGTTAAGACTTTATAATATTATAATTAACTATAGTGTTTCTGCCCGTGCTTCGCAACGGGGTGAGAATCTTAGGGTCTCTAAATCCACCGTAAAAAATAGTATATTTCGTACCTAGGGCCGAAAGCGAGGTTTTGCCGACTCGAGATCGGGTTTTAAGTTCGAGACGAATTCGAGAACGTGAAACGACCGAGAGCTGCAAACCCATTTTGGCTCGTGGTACGAACGCTATTTTTACCCAAGTATGTTTTGCAATATAACGTCCCTCTTATTTATTTGAAATATTTTGAGGAATCAGCAAAATCAAAAATAACAATAAATAGTTGTCTACGCAGCTGTCACAAAAAAAAAACAAAAAAACAAGTCTATTGCAATGCCATGGATACAGCTTATGCATTTAATATACAATCTTTTAAGTAAATAAGCGAACAAGTGATTTTGCGGCCCTAGGGATGTAAACGCCTGCTCGGCCCCTATGACGATGACAGCTGGCATGGTCAGAAAAACATAACTTTCAGCCTCCAATTAACGTATGTAAAACAGCTAAAATGTCATAGTGTGGTGAAAAATTCGTTACACATACTTTTACATTACCATGAATTAATTATTTGCATACAGAAAAACGGAGTCACTCTTATTGCGTATTTTAAGGTAAATTTCTTGTATATTCCCATGAAACTGATAATTTACCCAGCACATTAAGGCCTTTAATCCAAGTATCTAAGTTCGTAAATCATACATATAATGTGACGATAAAATATCAACGACATAGCATGTAGTTTTATGTAATCCTCCCGACATTTCATTTGGTCCATTCATTGACTTTAAATCCAATAATTGTCCAAATTATAGGAGCTTGGAAAAAACTGCATGTAAAAAAATCGTTACACTAATAAAAGACGACGTGACGAGCGCGGGCAATGAGCTACAGTGGCTAGGGCATAGCCACATGAATACAGAACGGAATGAAGGAACTAGAACGGAGAACTGGCAACAGCGCACGCGAAAAGTAGGGGGGGCGAACACACCGCTCAAGCGCTACAACGCATTAGTGGCATCCTGTCCACACACTGTTGATATATACCGAATTGTGGCAAGGTGCCACAATTAAAAACTGGAATGTTAGATGTTAAAATGGAGTGTTCATTAAAAATATCGATGCACACATGTTTCTACCACCTTCCTTCATCCACTGGTGGCCGCAGTTTGAAAGATGCCACAATTAGGTGTTTGCGAGTATGCGGTAAAACCCCGTATGTGTGTGTGTGTGGGTGTGTCTGGATGTGTACAGAGCTAGAGACTACACCTGTGGTCCGATTTCGATGAAATTTGGTATGTAGGTTCTAATCCATGGTATCTCCAGGCGTTTTTTTTCATTTTTTTGAAATTTTGATTTTTAATGGGGATTTTCCCATAAAAACCCATAAAAAAACCGGAAAAATCACATTTTCCCAAAAAATGGCCCGAACGATTTTGATAAAAATGTATTATGTTGTAGCCCTTTAAATTCTGAACAAAATAGTACAAATCCCATTTCTCTAAAAATTACGGTTCGAAAGTTATAGTAAATTATGTTATTTTCCCATAAAAACCCCATAAAATAACGAAAAGTAGGATTTTAGAAAAAAATCCGGTTGTAATTTAACATTGTATGTTATGGTCCTTACAATTTTGATAGTTTTTTTTTTAATTTTTTAGTAATTTTGATTTTTAATGGGGATTTTCCCGTAAAACCCCATAAAATTACGGAAAAAAAGGATTTTCCCAAAAACGGCCGGAATGATTTTGATAAAAAATTAGTATGTTATAGTTCTTTATATTCTGAACAAAATGGTACAAATCCCATTTCTGTAAAAATTACGGTTCAAAAGTTATTGTAAATTATGTTATTTTCCCATAAAAACCCCATAAAATAACGGAGAAATCGGATTTTTTTTTAAATGGTCAGAACGATTTTGATAAAAATTGTGTATGTTATAGTCCTTTAAATTCTGATCAATATTGTACCAATCCCATTTCCGTATATTTACTCTCACCGCTAACACATGACAAAGGTTGTTGACAAACTAATGGGAGAAAGTATGTGTCAGAATGCTGATACCGTTTACTCGGTTGTCTGTTTGAGTTAACGTTTACGGCATTGTATTAATTGTATTCTACTAAGAAATACCTTTAATTTGATGTGCATATCAACCTATGCTTACATTTAAAATGTTCTTCTGACTCCTAGCCCCCTGAAGAGGTAGTGTATAACTGAATCATGTGTTAAAAATTATGTTAATGCCCAGTAACTGTGTACTACGTTTTAAAGCACTGTTTTATTATATTTGAAATATTTAACCGTCCCGGGACTTTTTCCACCCTGTATGTGGTCTACCTATACATATGTTCCATACTGCTCATGTTGGGCTGTTACGTCTGTGATGTCTGAAATAAGTCATTTTTGATAAAAGTTTACAACATAAAGTAATCAAATAAAGTATTCAACTTTTATGTAGTTTAACAAAGATTTGTTAATGTTGTGTATTGATGATTTTCCATTAGTCAGGTACTAGTCTATTCGACATTCGACAGTTGACAGGTAGAGGCAGTGACGACTTCTGAGGTGGCTGGAAAAGTAGAAACTGGTCGCAACTTCCTCATCATCTCTCTAGATTATCGGCCACTAGATGTTGTTGAAGTCAGTGACTCCAACAGCTTCAACACTGATGACGCCAAGTTGGGAAGGTTAGTTTCTAGCAAATAAATGTGCCACTATGTGTTATTGTTCGTTTTTGTAGCCAATTATATAAGAAAAACCCTGACTTAGCATTGATGATTGTTAGCGTCCTAGACTGTTAGGTCAAGAGATCTAGGGCAATCCTGTTTCGTCAGATTGTGACGCTGCCTACAATGCACTGAAAAAAATATTACAAGTAAGTGCAGTCGCAAACGTTTGCCGGGGATAGCTCAGCCTACAATGGCTGGGAAAAGTTCCAGGGTCTGCGATAAGGTCAGGGAAACCACTAGGCCAAAAGCCGGGTCTAACCGGTATAGGACTGGCTCATACACGGGCACTGTGAACAAGTCAAAAACCAAGTCACCAAAACAAACGTGCAATAATCACTACCAGGCCTACGCCGATTCTCCACACACCTAGGGGGTCGTTGCTGACTACGCAACTCGGGCTTCGTCCTAACTACCCAATAGTTAAGCCCAGAGTGCCTAAAACACAGTGAGTTACACAACGACTTGCCAATAAAAACCACAACGCGAGTTATCAACAGGGGGGGTCTACCAGGCCACTATAATCCAATACACAACTCTAATGCCCAAGCTAAGAATCAAACAGTTCACTCAATAATAATACCATATAATAGTGCAAGTATACTATAGACAGAGTGCCTAAACCTCTAGTAGCTGGTCTCAATAAATACCAAGCCAAGCAAGCAAAGCTAACTGTCAATTGCACTACTATTAAATTATTGAGCTACTTAGTAGCAGATAAATAAATACTAAATACGCTCCAAACACTAGATAAATATATTATCTGATAGCCGGTACTCCGCTATCCAAGCTACCAAGATAACGTGTTGGATTACTAAACAAGCTGTTCAGGTTAAATTAAGATAATCAAATGATTAATCAACAACAACCCTACTACTGCTACTGCTACTGCTACTACCAACTTTAAGTTACTTAGCTAGGCTTCTGTTAATAGGCTAATAATATTAGCTACTAGCCTACTGGCCACGTGTTCCCAACTACGCACGCTAAATCGTGCAGCCTAGATTTGAATTTACTGTTACTTAATGCTTATAGGCTAGGCTAAATATAATGATCTCAATCGGCTCAGGGGTTTGCTACATGTGCTCCGAGTCTCAGGTTAGGGTGATCGGGCAGCGTCGGAATTTAATCTTGTGATTTGATTACTTGGTTATTAAACATAGTTGTTAATAAATAGTCCTGGAGAATTAAATATATAATATAATTAATTGCAATAAAGACTCAGTAGCAGGTCATGAAACTCGAGATCAATTTGACTGTTCAATGTTCTGTTGATGTAATAATTCACATAAGGATTAAAAGTTCAAATTTGGTTCTGTAATTATATATTACTTAAAATTCGTCTTCTAATTAATGGAATAAACGTTTTGAAATAGACTGAAATAGTTTCTTGAGGTTAACATTTTTTATAAATTTTAAAAAGTTATGGCCTAAAAATTTTCTAATGCCAGGTAAACGTTTTACAGGAGTGATCTCAACTAATTTAGATGGCCTCTGCACAGGTCAAAATACTTCTTGAAGTTTATAAAAAAATGGACATCATAGGACGTGGGAATCTTCTTCTATAAAATGTTAACTACATTGTTCAAATATGCAAATATACTTCAAATATACTTTGTGGGACAAAATTTTGATATTAAAATATGCCAGTTTACAAAATTAGTAAGTTAACACTAGTTCAGCTCTCTTGTAAGTAAGTGGGTGAGGCTTAGGGTATTACCAATTTTATTAAATAAAACTTGATTAAATCCCCTTCAAAACAAGGCATACAAGTTAAGTGTGGCTCTAATTGTTTTCGTACAGCAAAGCTATGAAATCAGACCAAGACTTTGTGGACACCCGGTACTTTGTTATGGGGACAACATTTTGGTATTAAAATATGCCAGTTTACAATTATGTTAACACTAGTTCAGCTCTCTTGGAAGTGGGGGAGTTTTAGGGTATTGTAGCACTGAAATCACATGTCAATTCTGAATATATCACTGTAGACTTGCAGGTCACTGTTCACACACACACTATAAACATTTACATCTGCTACAGAGCTAATTTTGAATTTGGAAAAGTTATTTAAATAAATTATATTACATTTGAAACAGTCTTGTTACAAAAGGCTATAGGCTGTCATCACAAATTTACGTAATTAGGTTATTTAAAAGTTTTCTATATAACATTTATTAAATTAATTACCTATTGTTCTGCTTGGACAATTATTACACATGGTTTACAGGAAGAATGAATATTTACATTGACATGCAGATTTAAAAGAAACACATGGTGAAAATTGAATGATTTTATGGACAAATATTAGTGGAAATACGGTATATGAATTGTTACAAGTTGATGGCTCTAAGAGTTGCACCTAAAATCGGGCATTTTGCTGTTTTTTGTTGTCCTCTACCTAACTCAGTGTGTATTTACCAATAAATTACCAATAAAATGTGTTTCATAGATTCATCCTGAGGCAAACCGTGTGGTCTTGTGACAAACTTAGCCTAGAGTTCCGCATGCCAGGAGGCGGCTGTAGGGCTAGAAACTACAAGAGAGTGAAGAAACTGACTCCTGAGATGGAACAAGGACAACGGATCCTTGTTGAAGACTTTGAATGGGAAGCTTATGATGACGAGTGTGGAAGCCCAGAATTGTTATAAGATGTTTTATTTTGTAGTATGATGAATACCATGGAAAGATTGCTCTTGTAAATTTATATAAAGTTGTCATAAATACAATGTTTTACCTGTAACCGCACTCCGGATATCTTTTTGTGGGTGAGACCAGTCCGGATAACAGGTTTTCCGGTTATACCAACGTCCTCTAAAACTCGTAAAATTGGGTAATATTTTATATTTCTTTCCTTTTTTAGCGAATTTCCCATATAGGGAATAAGCTATTACCGTAGTACTCATGGTAAGACCTGGACGCGGGACCGATTTTTTTTCGTTTTGAGGTCCCTAGAGGCCAAAAACACCATCCGTTCAAATTCATATATATATATATATATATATATATATATATATATATATATACGTCCGTCAGCACGATAACTCGAGCAAAAATGATCCGATTTTGATGAAATTTGGTACAAACGTGTAAAAATACGTTTATTCGAACGAGTTCTCGATCCAGCATGATTGGACCATGGGAACGGGGGTTTACGGTGGGTTTATGGGGTAAAAATAGGTTTTTCCCATTTTTGACCCAAAAAACATAAAATTTAGCAATTTCTTTCCAAACCATTTTGTAGAGCTTAAAAAACAAATAATTTAGTATATTGAAGCGTTATTATGCGCCTAATGGTTACGGAGAAAATTCCAAAAAATTGTAAATTTAAAATTCACATGTTATTCTTATGGAGAATAAGTAAACTGTTGTAGTTTGCTTGTTTGTGAACATATTTTGATCAAATTTGGAAAATGTTTTTATTTCTTACTAACTATTCACATTTTACAAAAAAAAACAGTTTTACCCTCCCTGATGCAGCAAACCTAAGTACTTGTTAAACTAATTCTATTTAAATCTATATATATAAAAGGCAAAGCCCTCACTGACTGACTCACTCACTCACTCATCACTAATTCTCTCACTTCCCATTTACCTAGGAGGCTGAAATTTGGTACACTGATTCTTTAGGCATTAAATAGGAAAACTAAGTGGTTTTTATTCTGATCGGACTCTCGGGCTCCGCCCCAGTGGCTCTGGAGTTTCCCATGTTAACCTAATGAGTACTCATATTTAAATGGAATAAATGAATCTTAACAGCTGTTTCAATTAAACAAGTTGTTTCTGTTCTATGATGTTCAATAGCATTAAAGTTTCAAGGATTACCAACAGAGTGCAGCACTATTATTTTTTTTAAATATATTTGACAACAGCTAATTTTAAACCAAAAGGTGAGTGAGCAAAGCGAACGAACTTCAACCCGGGGGCGAGTTAGCGTAGCGAACGAGCTAACCTGAAGGCAAGTGAGCGCAGCGAACGAGCTCCAACTTAAAGGTGAGTGAGCGTAGCGAACGAACTTCAACCAGGACGTGTGAGCGCAGCGAACGTGCTCCAACCTAAAGGTGAGTGAGCGTAGCGAACGAACTTCAACCAGGACGTGATTGAGCCATGCAAACGAGCTCACATATGAAGTTAAACGGGGCAAAGCCCGCGGGTACAGCTAGTCAAGAATAAATGTTATATTTTTAAGTAGACATTTCAGTGTAAATCCAATCAGTCAAATGGAAATTCGCTTAGTCTGCAGGTTTGCTGCGGCGGGGGTATTTCTCTAGACTCTAGCCCGGGACCATTATTCTTACAGTATATGCTTAGAGGGTACTTAGAAGAAGGCTACCTCTATTATCACATTGACAAAATTCAATGGTGATTGACGGGATTTGAACTCGGGACCTCTGGTACTGAAGTACCAACCTCTGCTAGTGATTTCAATACTTTTTTCTCTCTTGTTAGTCAAAATCTGGCCAATAATATTGACTCTGGAGGAACCCCAATACTGAACGACGCTGACTACAGACATGACTCGCAGCTCACGCTACACACAGTCACTGAACATGACGTCACACGTTACGTTAACTCACTTAGGGGAGGGTCTGCACCTGGCTTTGACAATATATCTGCTGATTTTCTAAAACAACATATACATATTTTTCTCCTACCGCTAACTCATTTGATCAATCTTAGTTTAACATCAGGCACTTTTCCAACCCCCTTTAAGACAGCCAAAGTATATCCTCTTTACAAATCCAACGATTTTTCAGACATAAATAACTTCCGCCCCATATCTATGCTGAGTGTTTTTTCAAAAATTTTAGAACGCATTGTGAAAGATCAGCTTGTTAATTACCTTGAAACAAACGAAATTTTAAGCAAAGAACAGTACGGTTTTGTAAAAGAAAAAAATATATCTGACGCTCTATTCGAAGTAAGTAAAAACATAAATGATAATATCTCTCACAATAGACGGAGTATGCTAGTATTCCTAGACCTAAAAAAGGCATTTGATTCTGTTGATCGAACAAAGCTATTAGTTAAACTAGAAAACATTGGCATTCGTGGCACCGCTCATCAGTGGTTTCAAAGCTATTTATCCGACAGAAAGCAAAGTGTGGTGATTAACGGAATTTCCAGTGACGTAAAACCCATAAACTATGGGGTAATTCAAGGAAGCACTCTTGGGCCTGTCCTGTTCTTAATTTATATAAATAATATCACAAAACTTTCAATTAAAGGCAAACTGTTTTTGTTTGCTGATGATGCCGTCATTCTTGAAAACGGGACAAGTTGGGAAAACGTCCGTGATGATGCTAATCATGATCTTCTTTTGATACAATAATGGTTTGACCAAAATGTTCTATCCTTAAATGTTTCAAAAACCAAATTCTTACCAATTTCACTAAGAGATACTACTGATTATAACTTGGAAAATATTTCAATTCACTCTTGTGGCAACTTTTTAAATAGATTTTGCTCTTGTGAGCAAATTGAGAAAGTAAGTTCCTATAAATATTTAGGTGTAATTTTTGACAATCGTATGAAGTGGTCTGACAACATACATTTTTTAACCTCTAAATTACGTAAATATATTTTTGCATTTAGGAAACTGCGTGACATATTAACAACGCAGGAAATGAAGCTAGCATATTACGCCTATGTCCAGTCGTTACTTTCATTTGGCATTATCGTATGGGGCGGAGCTTTTCCCACTGTTTTAGAACCTCTCTTTGTCCTTCAGAAGTTGTTACTCAAAGTTTGTTTCAATAAGCCAATTCGATACCCCACTAACACATTATTTCGTGAATTATCCTTACTCAGTGTAAGACAGTTATTTATTAAATTTCTTTCAATTCATGTTTTCAAGAACTTCGATTCTATTTTTAACCAAACATCACATTCTTATAATACCCGATATGCACAGAATGTCGGAATATCTACCTCCCATTTAGCCAAGTCTTACTCATTAACAAATTCCTCTTACATTTCTGAAGTTTTATATCGTAATGTTATCTCCCGTTGTAATTCTTATCATTTGTTTCATTCTCCATCGATTACTATTTTCAAAAAATGCATCACTGGCTGTCTGATAGAGTGGGGTGTAGATGAATCAGAACTCCTAATCAAAGCAGAGTACAGACAGACTTGACCCTACTTTATTCTCTCGTAATCTTTACTGAATAACTGAATTACTAACACCGAACATTCTTAACTATATTTATGTCTGTGCCCTCCGCCTTGCCTCATTCCTCAAATTGCTCATTCACTAATTTAGCCTCAGAATAGTTTTACAATTATATTAAATTATTTGTTTTTTAAGATTTTCTGAATATTTATGAATATTTTTGTTTTTCAACAAAAACGTAAGTCACTGATAGCGACTGAGCCTACGCACAGGCTTCCAGCCCATGTAGGCTTATTTCCTTAATGTATATGTCAAAATAGTAAAAGAAAACACTAATGCGTGTTGTGTTTGTAATAATTTAGACTAAGTTAAGTAAGTAAAATTTGGTTTAGGTTTGTACCTTTAATTTGCTTACTATTTATTATGCTAAATTAAGCCTAGATTAAATACTTATAGCAAGACAAATGATTAATCTGAAGAATTTCTTAACAATACAAATTTAATGAACTAAAAATAAGATATTACAATGATGAATGGGGTAAATGAACAGATAACAGGGTTGCCATCTTTGGTTTAGCCTAGCTAAGTAAAAACAGAACAATGAGTTTACAATTTAGTTTAATTACATAAATCTCAGGGAGGGGAACTCGGCTGGCTAAAAAGATCTTCAAATATTTTAATTTATGAAATAGGCCTAAAATGCCAATTATTATGAAAAATGGGATAATTTTGGTATTGCTCTTAGGCTTGCATAGGTAAATTATATAAGTCCAACAATGAATAGACTAGGTGAAAAATTTATTAAAATTGAATAAAATTGGGTATGGGCAATCCTAAAATGCTATGGGAAGGGAGGGAAACAGGTCCGTGACGTAGGAAGTGGTGAAGGAAGTAGTCAAGGTGAGCTGTCCGGAGTGTGGGAATTGTTTATGACGATTAGATAAGGGTATGGGCAATCCTGAAATGCTATGGGAAGGGAGGGAAACAGGTCAGTGACGTAGGAAGTGGTGAAGGAAGTAGTTAAGGCGAGCTGTCTGGAGCGTGGGAACTGTTTATGATGATTAGATTAAGGTATTTGCAATCCTAAAATGCTTTGGGAAGGGAGGGAAACAGGTCCACGACGTAGGAAGTGGTGAAGGAAGTATTCAAGGCGAGCTGTCCGGAGTGTGGGAACTGTTTATGACGATTAGATTAAGGTATTTGCAATCCTAAAATGCTATAGGAAGGGAGGGAAACAGGTCCGCGACGTAGGAAGTGGTGAAGGAAGTAGTCAAGGCGAGTAGTCCGGAGTGTGGGAACTGTTTATGACGATTAGATTAAGGTATCTGCAATCTTTAAATGCAATGGGAAGGGAGGGAAACAGGTTTGCGACGTAGGAAGTGGTGAAGGAAGTAGTAAAGGCAAGTAGTATGGAGCATGAGAACTGTTTATGACGATTAGATTAAGGTGTCTGCAATTCTGAAATGCTATGGGAAGGGAGAAAAACAGGTCCGCTACGTTGGAAGCGGTGAAGGAAGTAGTCAAGGCGAGCTGTCCGGAGTGTGGGATCTGTTAGTAACGATTAGATTAAGGTATCTACAATCCTAAAGTGCTATGGGAATGCAGGGAAACAGGTCCATGACG